CTTGAAAAGTGTGAGCAAGACATATATCACACATAATAGTGTCTATCAAGGTAAATTCGGGTTATTTTGAAGCTTCGGTCAATAGAACATGCCTGAAGGCGCTACTTATGCATAAGAGCGTGACCTGGTATAAGAGCATCACCAAAATCAATTATTTTCCTCAACTTCGGTGATGTAACGTTCGAAGCAGTTCATGTAGAGAACCAAAGCTATGGACGGTAATCATAAAATTGCCGAAATATGGTTGTTCGGAAGGGTATAATTTTTCCTTTGTTGTTAGACATTTATTTAGCCTCCAACTGGTTCATCGTTTTTCATAACGCCGACCGAGAGCGTGGGGCGTTGGGAGTAGATGCCAAGCGCTGTCCTTTCCAAACTAATAAAAATAGAGCGTTACAAATAACAAAAACCCAACTCCACAACTCCGGACAGATTGTATGCACCTACGCAAACATGGCACTAGACTTCCGTCGTGGGTTATGGCTACCCTGTGCTGATGGTGCAAATAATGCAAGCTTGTGTTACATATGGTCCACGGTTGATAGCCACCCAACACTTAATGAGGACAAATTGGGACACCAATGACAATTTTCAGCAAGAAGTAAGGCATTCCCATTGATTCCGTTCTAGTGAGCAGCTAACGATTTGTATCGTGTTGCGCAACTTCACTATTTCTGCCGACGAAACACACTGTTGGCGCTCATTTGGCCGCACCGGTCAGACGCAGGAGGATTGTTTAAGATTTGCCGGTAGAGACGCCTCTGAGGTTTTCTGAAATTATTTTTGAAACACTTAAATTGTCGCGCTGAGGCTTGCAATGGCTGGAAATGCAAAATGTTAATACTTTTGTGCGCATTTGAGTTATTGAGCCCTTTTCCAACTAAGAAAACGTCTGCATGATAACCTATTTGCGAGCCATATCAGTTTCATTTGGGCTCGGGATACCGATAACGTAACTTTGTCATAGGATATACATGTTAAAGCAATCACGTGCATCAAGCTGATGTGGATACATGCTACATGGTGCGATCCATAAAATGCAGTCGGAAGGTCAAATCGCCAAGGTCAAGTTAGACTTAACGTGCCAAAGGGGAAATTTTTATGAAAGAACGTTGATCTCCTGTTACCTGGTGTGACATGGTGTGGGGAGTATTAGCTAATATTTTATGCAGTTTAACAACCCTAGCCCGGGTGGTCGTTTTGTTATCGTGTCATGCTTAGGTGTTTCTGAGATAACTGAGCGAGGGCTGTGCGCCCAAAGCTTGATCCGTATGACCTTTGCTCACATATTACAGACCAAACTAATTGATAAGCTACGACCGACATTAATTTCGGAGTGCAAAGGGCTATCCAATGCCGTTTTCAACGACGGTATAGCACGCGGGAAGTAAGCAGGGAGGCGTATATTCATTACCTTATCTTGCTTATGAGGTTTCACTTCTCAAATTTGTCGTTAAGTCATTGTCAATCATCATCATAATCTAATAAACTCTCGGCGGGTCACCTGGTGTCGCTTTCTGTTGGGTTCCAGCATGTCTATTTTCCGATATAGGAGGGCGTCAGTGAGCCATCGTGGTTCCGGCAAGTGGGAGGAACGCATCTTTAGGCTGGGGTCTCATCGGATATTCTGCTGGGGTGGCTTTGAGGCCACAACATTCACCAGGTTGGACGAAGGATCTGGAGATCGGGCGGAGATCTGGATAGGGTCCTGACCCCAGCATCCCGCCGGCCAAGTGCATTTCCGGCTAAGCCGATGATTATTTGCCAATAAATTTGAGCGCGACGTTGAACGCTGCGAAGCTGCTGCCCGTGTTGCAGCCATGACCTGTCGGCAGTTCACCCTCAAAACATAATCAAAGATATCGATTTCTGGGACGCCAGTTAACGTGCTCGTCGCAAATTTTTAAGTGGCCAACTTTGTTTCACTTGTGCCTCACGATCGGCTAGTTTGGAACACGGGTTACACTGAATTACAGATCTGAGACATCTGTTTGCAAAGGATCATATGTTTCTACGTCAAAGAACTGAAGCAAAGCTAACGAACCCATAACGCTTGATTTGGTTGGGGTCTGTGGTGTGATGTGATATTTTGATGAATGACCCTGATGGTCGTAACGTTTTTTTTCGTTGTTTTTTTTTTGTAACCAGCGGCACACTTTCAAATGTATCAGCTACATACATCGGCATATTTCACTCCTTACTGATTATAGATTTGGCCGATTCCACGGCGGTGAGTTCGTGGACGCGATCCGCCTTTTTAATAGACCTTTCGGTTCGGTCACTCATGTCAGAAGCACGGACTCGTTCAGGATACTCTAGGCAGCCACCTGCCCACCGGGTCTGAGAAGGCCGTCACTTTTGACAAAAATGTGACGCTTTGTTCCTTGGCAAAGAACAGGAGAATGGAGGTATAGTTAGGTTGGCATTTCGGCAACATGCCTTTATCGAAACAATAGCAGAAGCACTTCAACAGCACTTCCGCTATTGTTTCAATAAAGGCACGTTGCCGAAATATCAACTTAACTATATCTCCATTCTCTTTTTTTCCGAGGAATAAGGCTAATCCTACTGTCTTATCTATGTGAGTAATTTTTCTCGCTAATGCACGGAACAACTAACGTAAAAATGTGACGCAATCATGTTTGCCTGAGCACGGCAGCGCTGGGATCCTGACAGCAAGTGATGGCGAGGGCTGTTCCGCAAGGGTTTCGAAAACAGAGACCTCTGCTTTGCACAGCGTTTCTGTGGCTCTACGTGTGCTGCTAGGATTTAACCAGATAGGCCAAAAGTTGTGCACCAAAACTATATGAGAGTCTCCTTTCGTCGCACTTCCGCCGAATCGCGGCCCGACTTCCTCACTCCTCGCCACTCGTCTCACTTCCGCCGAATCGTGGCCCTACTTCCTCACTCCTCGTCAATCGTCTCACTTTCGTCGAATCGTGGCCCAAGCTTCCTCACTCCTCGTCAATCGTCGCACTTCCGCCAAATCGTCACCAGGTTTCCTCACTCGTCCAAGTTTTCCTCATATCCTGTCACGTCGAATCCTTATCTGATCTCCGTCGATCCTGATTCCAATGGCCTGACTGGGCTACCGGACGCGGCAGCACTATTCTGACGTGTTCCTTCAGTAGCCCACGCTCCCAATGGCAGGCGTGTGATCTCGCCTTCCCTGGGCGAGCGGCCCTGCAGCATTGCTCATCATGGAGTTCAATACATCATCAAGTTCAATACACCATCATATAACTGATCGATTGAACTTGGTGAAATTAGGTAAGGGTGTGGTTTAGGATTGGATCAGAAGGGAAAGATGGCCAACCTTTAGATTTAGGAAGCCTGAATCGTCAAATGTCGGCTCATAAAGTAATAGCTGTTTGCAAATAAAGTGCACTTGAAATTCGATGTTTAACTGTGCTGATATATATTGGATTGATGTGGATTATTCTGGGAAATATTTTTGCCATCAATGGCGAGCAAGGTTGGGCTCAGAATTTGCAAAAAGGTAGATTCACGTGCGAATTTATTCCGATATTGGAGATGCGGATTAGACTAAGTCCTGAAAATTAAATAAATTAATTCGATGAACTTCTCACACACCTAAAGCCATCTCGAAAACGAAGCTCAAAAGGGTATCTGAAAACACGCGGATAAGACAAGGTACGATTAGTCTTAGCATTAGCATCAGTGTAAATGAGCATCAGTGACACATGAGCACCAGTGTAATAGTATCAGTGTAATACACATGAGCATCGGTGTAAATGACCTTCAATTTTGAAACGTAGAACAAATTATGTTCAGTGTAAGAGCTCCAAATTCAATTTCAAAACACCGTAAATTAAAACGTTCCTTTCTTTCATAAAATGAAAAGTAATGACAAATGTCAGCCTGTTTTCTATTTTCAGGACCATGTGGACATGCTATTACACCGCATCAGCAGCTGATTTAAGAAACGGTAATGACACATGAACCGTTGTGTCACGTGATGTTTCAAATCAGAACATGCTGGTCAAACCTCCTGTGCGTAGGGCCTAATCCGTGATCTTAACGACTAACTACGGTGCGCACAGGACAGAGATTGTATCACTACATCCATTCTTAGCTAGCATAACCTAGTTAATAAGGGTGGAAGAGGTCACAGATGTGTTTGCTGCAGCTGATTGCAGCCATTTCTTAATAACATAACCACAATAAGGCTACCTGTTCAGCCAAGGACATCCTCATCTTTGTTAAACACTAAGGAAACTTGTGGCTGCGTCAACAACTGACCTCCAGTCCTCAGCGTTTTTCTTCCCCAACTTCATGACGAGCGGATAACATTTCTGCATGCAACGCCTAACACTACTTTTATTTGTAGGTTACAGTGCTATACTCATGTACAACCGACGCATCTAAAATGGACGTTTAGTCCTTCGGGACAATAAGTCGCAGATGTCCGTTTCCACACTCTACGTTCCTTTTTACGGGAGTCGCTTCCGCACAAGCAGTCAACGAGATTTATAGCTTATTATCTTTTATTATTTCTTGTAGCTGCATATTTTGTTAGCAGTTTTAACACCGTCAATACTTCAAGCGGGCACACGGCACCGGGACGAATTTTTTCATTTACCCAGCCAGTAAACCATGGCCCAAGGCATGTTGTCAACATTATCATTATTATTGATAGCATCATTTCTGGTTATCATGCTTATGTTGCATTGTTGATGTTATAAAAGATCCCCAGTTTTTGCCGACCGTGTGACAATCGCCTCACCGGCCAACCCAGCCCAAAACAAGGAAAAATCCACCCCCACCGTGGCATGTCCTACTCTCTTCAACTTGCGCCGCGCTGGAAGCGGCTGCGCCAGATAACGGTGGAATTCTGCAGCCGCTGTCAGGGGCGGTTCTGCGGGGCTCGGGCGGAGGGGGGAGGGAGCGGGCGCGAGCTGACGTGGCCTCCGGCTCCGTGGAAATTGCAGGTTTATAAAACGCGACGCAACAAGGGCACGCCCAGTTCTGAAGTGGTGCCTGTCGAGGATACGGCGGCAGCATGGCGATCAAGGTGAGGCCAACCGAATCAGGCTGGTCATGCACGGAGTCACAAACTTGTTGAGAGCTGTTTTTACGTCGCTTCGGGCGTCAAAATATTTTTCGATCGAAAATTTTTGGAAAACTACACTGGCTCAAGCGCCATTACAGCTTGACGTCTTTGTTGTTCCAACATGCGGATTTGATTTTATTAATAGAGCTGAGCGTTCGGGTGGGTTTCGTTGTTCAATTATTTCGATAAGTGCTTCGAGTATGCTGTTCAAACAGCCCGAATTCTCGAATGAACTGCGGAACATTTTCTCAGCTTGATGTTTCGTGCACAGAGCGTATCCACATTCTCTAATGTGTGGCGGTTGGAAGAATATAAAGCAAAGGAGAACGATAGTCTTCGGTGCAAGCACAGGTAATCCATCATGTTGGGCCACATTAGCAAATATGGTAGCTGAAGAACCGGAGCGTGCCGTCATTTCTGTTGGTACGTTTGCGGAAAGTTGTGGCATTTTCTACCGGGTTGCGTACCCTTCAACATTACGGTCGCTGTATTTCCACGGCATGGTGCTTTCGGCATGCGCTGTTTGGAGTTTGCTAAATCAGAGTGTACCAGCCATGCAGAGCGGCTGGCTTCATCTGACACTCAAACCCGGTGTCAGTAGACCGCAACTATCTGATATTATCCCATTGGTCACATGGACGTTAGTTGGCCATTCATATGCCTAAAGAGTGATGTCGGCCGTTTTTGTAGTTGTCTGTGTGTTGCTTCAGAACACATTTGAAGGCTTAGTAATATTGGAATAGTAGGTGCGATGTTCAAGCATTCTCCAAATCAAAATGCTCAGTCATATATTTCAAAATTGCGCATTGGAATATTTAAATCCATAAGTAAAAATCATGCTTGCCACCACAAAATATCAAGTGTATAGATGGTCATATTCAAAACTTATGTATATTTCAAAGAATTTCGACCATATCTCAGACAGCGCCCTGTACATCTTGCGCCAAGCTGTCACGAGGTGCAGCTTAGGATGCAGTAAACCATTGGGTCATCTGCGGGATTGGAAACGGCGCATGTGAGCAAATACGGAAGGCACACAATCCAGGCTTCCGGCCATTCCATATTTGCATAAATTTAATTTGCTATTTGTTCAGTATTTTATAAGCCTGATGTTATCATCATGAGTTTTGCGGTCTCCTGACGAAGAAACAAGTAGCGTAGATTTCGCAGTTGGTCTTCCATCCCGGCAGAGATCTACCTTTGGTAGAGAGTAGAGAGCCACCTTTGTTCTATCTGTCATGACAGGGGCGTACCGCGTAAGCCACTATCATTGTTGGACGAATGTGTTGGTGTGGTCGTTGTGTTGGTGTGGACGAATGTGTTGGTGTGGACGAATGTGGCACTGGTGTTGGTCGTCACTGTCAATCATGTTTCGATCTTTACTAATGTAACTGATCCAACAACCAAGCCCAAAGCCACTTACCCCAACATCCGATGTCATGCACACCTACGTATGCCGTTTGATATCTCAAACCCCGACCGAGGCATTCACAAGCTGTGGCAATGCAGTCCGGTGCAAGTGGTAGTCCTTGCTGCTAATCCATCACTCCACCCGTCCAGAATGCCTCTGCTTCACCTCTGAACGCCGTCCTGTCGTGCTAGGTGATCACATCACCTCTGAGTCCCTCTCCAGGCGACCATCACATCACCTCTTAGTTCCTGCCCAGATGATCGCCACGTCACTTCTTAGTCCTTGACCACCGCCCTGCCCTGTCCAGATGATCGCCACGTCGCTTCTTAGTCCCTGACCACCGCCCTGCCCTGTCCAGATGATTACCACGTCACCTCTGAGTCCCTGACCACCCGCCCTGCCCTGTCCAGATGGTTACCACGTCACCTCTCAGTCCCTGACCACCGCCCTGCCCTGCCCAGGTGATCGTCCTTGCGGCTCTGGTGGCGGCGGCCTGCGGCCAGCGCGGCCAGGACTACGATGGCTCGAGTGGACAAGGCGGTGGCTACAGTGGCAGCCATGGTGGACAAGGCGGCGGCTACAATGGTGGTCAGGGCAGCGGCTACAGCGGCAACCAGGGCGGACAAGGTGGCGGCTACAGTGGTGGTCAGGGCAGTGGCTACAGTGGCAGCCAGGGCGGACAAGGTGGCGGCTACAGTGGTGGCCAGGGCGGCGGCCAGAGCGGCGGACAAGCCCCGCAAACCTACCTCGTCTCCAGCTACCGCTACGGCCGGCATCGGCCCTTCACCATAATCCCGGGGCGCGACAAGGACAGCGCGGCCGGCGGCGGCGCCGGCGGGCGTTCGTCCCCGGGCTACAACGGTCCCAGCGCCGGTGGCTACTCGCCAGGCTCTGCTGCCTCCATCGCGGCCCCCTCGAGGGAGACCTACAGCTCTGGCGCAGGGGCAGGGCGCAGAGGAGCCGCCGGCGCCGGCGGTGGGGCCCCACACGACCTCGGCGGCGGGTACCAGAATCGCCCCGGTACCGGCGGCGGGGCTCCACACGACCTGGGCGGTGGGTACCAAGGTCACCCCGGTGCTGGCGGCCCCGGCGGAGGCTCCGCCGGAAGCGGGTACAGCGGAGGCGCGCAAGGTTATGGCGGTGGTCCCACTCACGCACCCACTCGAGGTGTGCGCGGCGGGCCGGCGGCAGGGTTCGCCGGCGCCGGTCGGGCTCCGGGAGGAGGTGCACAGGGATACAGTGGCGCCCCCACTCACGCACCCGCTCGAGGTGTGAGCGGCGGGCCGGCGGCAGGATTCCCGGGCGCCGGTCTGGCTCCAGGGGGCGGCGGCTATTTCGCCGACGCCGGTGCCGGTCCCTTCCCCGGACCTGCCGGCGGACCCGGCTACCAGGTCGGCCTTCCGAGAGCAGGTGGTTGTCGGAGGTCCATTCGGCGCTGGACCCGCCGGACCCCTCGGTTTCGAGGACGGACCGGTCTTCTCGGAGGCGGACCCGCAGGTTTGGGTGACCTAGGTGGCCCGAGCTTTGTGGGAGGCTTCCCAGGTGGTCAGGCTGGAGGTTTCCCGGGTGGTCAGGCTGCGGGTTACCCAGGAGGACAGGGTGGCGGATACCAGGGTGGTCAGGCTGCGGGGGTACCCAGGAGGACAGGGTGGCGGATACCAGGGTGGTCAGGCTGCGGGTTACCCCAGGAGGACAGGGTGGCGGATACCAGGGTGGTCAGGCTGCGGGGTACCCAGGAGGACAGGGGTGGCGGATACCAGGGTGGTCAGGCTGCGGATTACCCAGGAGGACAGGGTGGCGGATACCAGGGTGGTCAGGCTGCGGGGTACCCAGGAGGACAGGGTGGCGGATACCAAGGTGGTCAGGCTGCGGGGTACCCAGGAGGACAGGGTGGCGGATACCAAGGTGGTCAGGCTGCGGGTTACCCAGGAGGACAGGGTGGCGGATACCAGGGTGGTCAGGCTGCGGGGTACCCAGGAGGACAGGGTGGCGGATACCAGGGTGGTCAGGCTGCGGGGTACCCAGGAGGACAGGGTGGCGGATACCAGGGTGGTCAGGCTGCGGGGTACCCAGGAGGACAGGGCGGTTCGGGCGTTGTCTACGCAGGTCAGGGTGGCAGATTCCAGGGAGGACAAGGCGGTGGATACCAGGGAGGACAGGGCAGTAAACACCACGGGGGACCCTCCTCGGCAGGGCCCAGCAGGGGCTCATCCGGGTACACAGCCTGATCATCCCACTTCGGTAGGCAGTAGACGCGTTGCTGAGTGAGGCTGAATGGAGTCTTTCTCTTGCCACTGACTGTGTGATGCATGAGATCCGCGCGTGTTAGTGTACTGTTACTGTCGAGATACAAAGTAATGCAAGAAACTACCTTGAGCCAATGCTGCTCGTTGTGTCCAGTGTCATTGCTACAGTATGCTGACCTTGAAGGCGATTGTGATACTGAACATTCCTACTGACGAAGTGGGTTGCCATTTTCCGATGCACTGGTGACATATTTATTGACCACATTCACGATTTGAACCGAATATAGTTTATGAACATCGGTGCTGCCTTATTGCAAAGGTGCTGCATTATTGCATTACTGTAATGCGTGCACATTCCATAAAATCAGCTAAGAGCAAACTCTAGCAGCCTCAGCTCACAGCAAAGAATACGTGAGTCGTAAAGTGTATTTGCGAGGAACATTATGCACGTAATTAGACAGTATTGATACCCTATTTCTCGTGATAAAAAAACAGGAGAATGGAGACATATATGCGTTACGCATCCTTATCTCCACTGCAAAAGAGGTTGCTCCTCTGCACGCGGTAAACGCTGACTTATGTCATGCTATAAGCGCTATGAAAGTGGTGAAAGTTGCTGAATCTAATTCGAATGAGTCTGGCAAATTCACGTGTCAGCACGCCAAAAGGTAAGCCACAGCTGTAATGTTGCCCGATAACGATAAAGCGTATCAGAAAAATGTAATTCTCAGCATCCCAGCAAGGCACTTCAAAAGTTGCGTTGGCAATTTTACAATGATTCGGTGTTGCCACATAATGTAAGGCTGTTGCGGTAACTAAAAAAGGCATTGTAGACTGGACTGTTTTTGCTTAAAACGAGAATCCTCAGCAATCCTACTACTTAACACCGTAATAACCCCAGCAACTGATGATACACACTTTGTGTTGATATGCAGCACGAGCATTGTTCTATTTTATCAATGCTGAGATGTTTTTTTGCACTAGCTCGTGCGTATGGTAAAATAGTTCATCTCAGTGGTTTTCATCCCGGATTTTTTTACCCCTGGCCGAAATATGTTACCAATCCTTGCGCAAGCAGTTAATTGGACAAAAATGTCACTGTGGTTGGAGATACTTCTTGCAACTGTTATTGCTGCTGTGGACACTTAACGACCACTTGGAGTAAATTCGAATTATGATGATATATGTGGTAAAATGGTGAATGTTTTGGAAAAAATCAAATGTTGATAACGACGATAACCCGAGATGGAGGTTACTTACCACCACAATATTAAATAGTCTTGCATTGTCTCTCATGTTCTTCCGCTTGAACGTCATATTTCAAGTATGGTGGAAAGAGTGACTTTAGCGACCTTTCCATGGTCCGTCATGGAACAGCGCTTGGTAAAAAACATTCCACACTTGGGCCGAAATCATTCTCCTCGATCTTGGCCGCCGTTAAATTTCTGCCCTCAGCCTTCGGTCATGGCCAGACATTTCAACAGTAACACCTGCCCTGAAAAACTGTTTTACTACCCCAGTGCGAAGTACACATTTTAATAGGCCGTAGCGTCGATTAAATGCTTAGAATTGATGCAAAAGATACTTAGAAAATGCTTAGGTAGATCCAAAATCGGTTGGTTTTGAATTTATATGGAAAGCTGTGTTATTTTCAAATCGGCGTAAACAGATCTCGATCTCCGAAAGTTAGCCCGCTCACTCACAGCTGAAGAACAAAGCAACTCATTTTTCAATTCTTTGCTAATTAATCAGGTATTTTATTTTTTGATTTGATGTAATTGATCAATCAGGTTTCTCATCAACAAAGACAAGGTTTCAAGCAAATCTGCGATCAAGCAGGCATAGCACATAATATAAGAGGAAGTAAATGGTGTGGATATCCCATCAAGTTGGCGAACAAAGAATCAGTGGTGACAGCCGGTGAGAGATCCCAAGGCTTTTGTAGTTCCGCTCAGGCGTGACCAGAAGCGCTTCGCCAACTGACAAATCAAACGAAACGATGTGCGACGCCCGCACCAAGCACAGGAGATGCGCACAGGCCAGTGTAGGCGGTCAACATCCGGTCAAAGGGACAAGGTCGGGATGCAACAACGGAGAAGGACTAAACATGAGCGCCGAGGCACTGAACGCGCAGCAACCAGTGGCTCTCGACCCAGAGCGGAGAATCGCCGCCGGCGCTGCAGACACGACATGTCAAGAGCAAGCACGCCGTTCCCACTCACTCACCGAGCCTCAGCACTCCCAGGGTCCGCGCTCGCCCGGGATCTCACGGCAATCATTGAAGGCGGCCCTGGATAAAAAAAAAACGCTGGGCCAGCAGCAGCTGCAGATATCCCTGGAGTCCCCACCGGCGATGAGGAAACTCGGGCCATTTTGTACAAGCCCGGCGAAAATACCACCCAGATGACCCCCAGCACGAGGAAAAGCTGCCAGGTATGAACTGCACGCAGATGTCGGAAAAAGCGCGCTCCATCAGTGGAAGCATCTGAGCACTCGTGGTGAAAGGCTGGCCGCTGTTTTACCAGCGTGACGCATCTGGACCACGCCCATGTGGGGTTCGTCGGGAAATACAACCTGCTGGCGGAAATAGGACCTAGACAATGACGAGGTACATTCCTATTCAGATAAAACATTATTTATGGCATAATTTGTACTAAATCAACAGCGGAAAGCATTGCTGTTTTCAATACCAAGTGTCTTGCCGAACGCGTTATGTACTAAGCCACTTCGTGACTGATCATTGTCGACTTTGCTGCCATGCTGCGACGCATAGGGTTCTTTGTCATGCTGAACAGGGGGCAGCCGACCGCCTAATGAGGAAGTATGCAGCAAAATTATCTTTTACGCGGATACCACTCACGACATTTGCAACTCGCCTGCAGATGTTCAGCGATTACCGAACAAAGACATTCTTGAGGTGGCTGCGATTACATTTGGGACGCGCCACACGCTTCCAGCCGCGGCGAACATGGCGCAACGACAAGAGTTTATTCCAGTGTTGTTTGGAAAACTCAGGTCAGCTGGTCAATGCCTGTTACGTCGACGTTAGCACTAAGGAGAAATAGGAAATTCGTTTCAGTCCGGTTATTAACGGTTAGCTGTCATTATTAGCTGCACTTACTGCTCTTAGCTGATATTGTTAGCCGTGTTTGCTATTAGTTGCTGCTATTGCTATTTGTTTGGAGTAGCCAATTCAAACTATTCTACACACCTGTTATGCAAACTGTTATATAAAGTACAAAATCACTGACCAGTAATATGCATCGTTTGGTATTGTAGAAAAATAGTAACAGACGTGAGAGTTACCAGATGTCATCATGTCATCATGTCATCATGTAACAGACGTGAGAGTTATCAGATGTCATCATGCATACCGCGCCGAAAATGACACTAATGGACCTTAGACTTTACTCGCCTTTTGCTGCCCTAGGAAACGCTCTGACCAGCGCACTGATAAGTATTAAACAACATGAGGGGTAGCCGTCATTAAGGCAACTTGAGCGTCCAGATACTCGCTGACTTGATGTTGCGTGATGATTCCCACATTAACTTCTTAAAAATTTGATAACATGGAAAGCTCCTATGAACAACCGACCAACAGCCAGTTAGATAACAACCTGATACGCGACGGTTAAAAGTTGAAAATGATGAGGAGATCCGAAATACATTCGGCTCGAGCTTTCGCAGCCTTAAGTACACACACTTGCACACAAGTAAGCCATGGTACCCACCCGATAGCATAAAATGAATCTAGCTGGTGAAACTTTCTGGATTCTCGCGATAATCTGAAGGCTCACGTCAGGAACTACGAGATATTAGGCGGGACAGTCTTGACTATTTGAACTTGGTACCGTAGTATCATGATAATAACATTTAAAAGTCTCAGTTCCCTCTGCTACGAGCTCTACAAGCACTGTCGACAGCGGCATGCCCTTACTATACTTGTCAGAAGTATTAGGTGAAAGTCCGTTTCCAGTATGCACCCGAGTCTAAAACTCCGCTGCCTGCTACCAGCGGCAAAACGTTACG